CTCTCTCTGTCTCTCTGTCTCTCTCTCTGTCTCTCTCTCTGTCTCTCTGTCTCTCTCTCTGTCTCTCTGTCTTTCTGTCTTTCTGTCTCTCTCTCTGTCTGTCTCTCTGTCTCTCTCACTCTCTCGTCATTAATCCCTCTGACATTACCTGAAACTGACAGAAACAGTCCGACTTTTACTCGACCAAACCAGGCTTCCTCGTTCGGAAAGCAGAAGGTTCGAACACCCCATGTGAAGCAGAGTTGTAGAGTTGGGGCTTAAGGTGGTTTAAGGGCTTTTACATTTGAATATCACATTGCTTGAATGAAACATGGTTAAAGAAAAAAAATTCTTTCGCAAAAACGTAAAGCAAGATATGTAACCCCCCTAGCCCTTCAAATATGAAATTGAACATAAAGAACCTTAAGTCAAAATTTTATTTATTTATTATCCGTTTATTCAATTTTTATTGGCCATAATTTGAATATATGTGTTCTCATATGAGTGATTATTAACATTAAGATTTATTCAGTAAGTATTAAATTTTCAATATTAATTTCGTAATTGAAGATGTGGTGCTACCACACCGCAAACATGAACAATGCCTTTGATAAATCTGTAAAAACATAAGTAACTTATATTTGATGACACTTTTTGAAGCTAATGAAAGAGTTTAAAAAATAACGTTGCTCACTTATTACATTGAATGACCAACAGCAATTGTTGTTTAAAAATATGGAACCAAACATGAACTGTCGTAAATGAAAAATTAAAATTTTAATTTCCAAATAGTTATTTATCATTTTTATTCATCAGCGGGAAGCACGATACAACCATCTATACTCTAAAACCTCGACAGAGCTAAAATAGTAACACATCATCGGTGTCACAAAAACGAAGCATCTCAAAAGTGGAAGTAAAATGTTTTGAAAACACCATACTTTTTAGTACAAATTACAAAATGTTTGTATAAATAGTGCGCAAGGCAACCAATAGAAAAATACTCTATCTGGGACATCCAAATAAAATGTTCCGCCTAGTGGAAAAACCATTCTGTTGACAAATTACTATTTTTCATATGTGCCACGTCTCTTATGCATCGTAAGATGTTTTTTACAGAAGTTATTTTTAAAATCTTAATTTATCCATTTCGAACAACATTTTAAGTTTGTCATTTTAATTTCCGAAAAGCATGTTCAATGTGAATCGCTTTTTATTTGCACCTACATGTTTTCTTATGTGAGGAATTCTTCACATTTAGGGTCGTCCATACGCGTCCGCAACAACTAGTGGAGGCAATTATTATTATGATCACGCTTTTCCATTAAATTTTTTCTAATGGCATATTTTACTAGGAGAAAAGGAAAGCATACTGAAGGGAGAATGAAATTATAACTTGAATGAAACAATTAATAATGCAAATGGTTTGCGTTGATTCTTTTACAGGGTTAGGTTTTATAAAGCCTCATTTGGAGACAGCAAATGTTGTGAATGAATTCCTGAAATTGCCAGCATAAAAAAGAATAAAATGAAGGAATTTATCATATATACAGAAATAAAGTTGTATTACTTAGGGTACGTGTCCCCCTTCGGAACTTTCGCGAGGACCACGCCCCCCTCATGGGCACGTCTATGGATTCATAGCAGCTCATAGCGTTTCGAAAGTCGTTTGGTGACTCCGAGGCGGCGGCGGGGGCGTGGTCGGCGGCGCCTGCGCGGGGGACCGTCGCCGTCGCTGGCTTGGGGCGGGCGCTGCGCGCGCAGGCGCTCTCCAGACTCTCGGTCCAGAGCCTGGAGCTGCGCCTGGTGCTGGCGCAGCGTGGCTTCGATCCAGCGCCGGTAGTAGCCCACGTCGGTGTAGAGCAGCGCGAACGTGGCGTTGCCGCAGCCCAGCGACCCGGCCACCACGCCCGTCAGCTGCCCGTCGCACAGCACCGGCGCGCCGGGCTCCTCCTGGCGAAAAACGAGACCCGTCGGTGGGGAGGAGTTACTCTGAGAAGGTTTGACGGGTCGGGAAACAAATGAGGGCGTTGCGGGGGAAGTGAAATATTGCGCACCCGTTTTACAATACCTTCTCTTTATTACAGAAGTACGTATTAGGTGAGAAAGTAAAAAGCTGTGTGCAAGTTACATCACAATTTCCATACGAAGAAAATCTATCAATATGTTAGGACATCAAGGGAAATTGTACCCATCTTCTTGCCTATCGTCATGGGTCGCAGGTGTTGATCAAGAACAGATAAAACATCTGCGTCATATCTGACGTTGCAATAGAAGCGTAGTGTTCACTATGGCTGGTGCACCAAACACTTGAAATGTGGGACATTGCAAGTAATTGGGATCAAGCCTTTTACAAATGAGCTTACTGTAATCGAATGCACTGACAAAACGAGAGCATGGATGCAACTTGCAGTTATGCAGTGGCCAAGCAGTGGCCACAGAAGTACGTATTAGGCGAGAATGTAAAACGCTGTTTACAAGTTAAATCACAATTTCCATACGAAGAAAATCTGTACTGAACTGAAATACTTATACAGATATTTTAACGTACACCAATTTTTCGGCATCAAGACCTACAAAACGTCGAATCTGGCTTTATAACGAGTCAGAAGATGTTATTTATTACGTAACTGAACAAGATTTATACACTTTTTCGATATTAGCGTCTTTAATATACCAGTTTTTCTGACGCAAAAACCGCCACACTGCGCAGCAGTTTTGCAGCACCTTCTCTTTATTACACAAGTTAGTATTAGGCGAGAAACTAAAAAGCTGTGTAGAAGTTAAATCATGATTTCCATGCGAAGAAAATCTGTCAATATGTCAAGGGACGTCATGGGAAATTGTACCCGTCCTCTTACCTATCGTCATGGGTCGCAGGTGTTGATTAACAACTGATATAACACCTGCGTCATATCTGACGTTGCAATAGAAGCGTAGTGTTCACTATGGCTGGTGTTCCAAACACTTTAAATGTGAGATGAATTCAATGCCTTACCTTGCACGTGTTTCTACGGAAGCCTCTTTTCCCAATGCAAATCAAATCTCTCGGAGGCTTGTGGATGCTATCTTCGTGGAAGCAGCGTTTCCAGGCTACGGCGTGCAGTTGCCACAAAGGAGTCGGTGGTGGAAGATGCCACAAGGTAGTAGGAAGCTGCATTTTAAGATGGGAATTGATTGCATTTTCCATGTTCTGAAAAAGAAAACATTATCACAGGAGAAAATATTTTCACAGGTACCCGCAGAACATGCTTTCGAATTAAATCCCAGTTGAATCTCTTGAGAAAATTACTTGAAACAAAAGATATTGTGAAGTCGTAGGCTTCCGTAGCCAGAGTCATGTGCATGCTCTTGGCTGCCCGGGTGACGCCGCGTCGAAGGCTGTGTTGCCGACGTTTCGACCATCTTGTCGTGGTCTTCCTCAGGGCTGATATGCATCGAAACGTCTTCAACACTGCCTTCGATGAGGCGTCACCCGCACTGCCAAGATCATGCTAAAGACCTTGTGGATGCAAGAAGCCCCGCTGATCAACTTTGTAGGACATTTGGGAACGTTCAAAAATGCCACGAACTGAAATTTGGTGTCCTGACAGACAAATTTGTCGAGCTTCAGTTCGAAGTGGGGTTGACTTCATCCCATTCTAATTCCACAAATTCACATTTTCAAATTCCAATTCGATTCTTTCTGCACTTGCAACCGAATAATACAGAATTCTTCTTAGATTAATCTTAATCACTCGATCTACAGATTAGACTCGCCGTAGTCTCGTTTTTGCGAGTTTCGAAACAGAAATCGTGAAAAAAACATGTGACTTCCAGTGGATTAATATAAATAACGTGAAATAAGGTATGTAATATTTCAAGTATGATTATTTGTGAATGCATACATTCAATCTCCTAGCTCTTATCACTGTTATACAAATTAAGTTTACGGTCAATGATTTTTGCAACAAAATACAGAATTACCACCCAGTATTTATAGAGAAATACATTTTATAACTGTAAAATTTTAAAACATATCTCATTAGAAAGGGCATGTTTTAAATCCTCTCGAAAAAATATTTTCCCAACGTTGGCATATAATGCCCAAAATGTAGAGACAAAATGAAAGACATAGAGTAAAATTACCGAATTGGCTCGCTTGGAATTGGCCTGTAAATTGGATCGCTTACGTACATCGCGATCGATACCTCGAATCATACAAGTTAGCTATAATACTTGAGGTCTGTGCTTGGGCGAATGTTTTATTGAGATTGTTAGTCAATTTTCAGTGCATAGAAGTCGTTTTAATGAGCAGGATTCGCGTTACGGTTCTTTTGTATTAATGTTGTGCGTAGTATCATAACAGATTGTGGGTAGACGAGTAAGTGATGGCAAATTTATGTTTCACGATATAAAAATACTTCTATACCTTCCGAATATGCATTGCAAAAACTAAGTCTGTCCATGGAGTTGTTGTTAGGTGTTATGAGTTTATATTGTTGAGTTGCCAAATTTGACCCACAGAATATTGCCTCGAGTGAACCGGTCCATCTTAGGAGGCTGGTAAACATTATTTTGTTTGTTTTTTCAATGTCAACAGCATGCAATGCAGTGAAATGGAATGTATGTAAATAGGAGGTAATATTGTGGGACATTTTAGGCCCGTAGAAAGAAAACGCAAATATTCGTAGCTCTAGCAACTTTGGTAATGAATGAATGAATGGTAATGAAGAATTCTCTTCAGAAGGTTTTATCTTTAAAACAATGAATATTGGAATTAAAATGTTTAACAAAATAGTTGACAAATTTTCATAAAGTGGCTAAGGTGTTATCTGTTAGAAGTGGAAAGACATAACATATCTAAGACTAACATATAGATCTGTAGAAGGATATGTGAAAATCATTAAATAAAGGAGGGGACTGTCGATTATTTTTCCAGAGGAGACTATTTTCTTTCGACGAATTCAGCTATACGATTTTTCTTTGTCGTCGGATATATTTGATTAATACTATTTACAATTAATAGACTCATTATTTTAATTTGTTTATTATCAATCATGCATTTATTTTAAGTTCCAAATTAGAATACTATGCGACCAAATCCGGCAATCGTTACTACAACAATTTGTACCAACTGCACACTTTCAGATGTTCTTCACTCATCTTTGCCAGAACTATTGTAATTAAAATAATGTTAATATGAAAAAAATAGTTTGTAGATTGTTTTGGTGTGTACATTGTTTTAATTAATACTTTATTGACAGGGCGCAAACGGAAAATAAATATCGGTTCTAATTCCGCAAGTTTCCGCTCCTATTGTATACGAGTGATTGCAATTTTAAAAAACGCAACACCATCATCTTCTCAATTAGATGAACAAATCTCGTTAATTTAAAGACTTATTATAACTGTACTCTCCTTTAATTACAAATCATTTATATCCCGTTTCTATATTTTGATAGCCAGACCGCAACTTTATTCTAATAGTGCAATACCTTTATTTTGAACATTATGGTTATGTTAACTCGAATCCAAGCCAAGTGTGAATTAAATTTTATTCATTAATCTATAATAAATTAAATGGTGGAATTCGCACTTCGTCTGGATTCGAGTTAACATAACATTAGACTTTAAAATTGAGATACTCTCCTAACAGAATAATGAGTTGGTCTGGTAACAGAAAAATAAGAGCGGACATGCGTAATCTATATAATAAGATGAGTAATAAATTCTTCCGATTGAATTTTCCCCTAAGCACTTCTTTACTGAACAATCGTTTGTCGACATTTTTTCTTTTTCTATAATAAACAGAAGGATGTTCTTGAAATGATACGAAGCATTCAGAGTATTTCTAAGTATTTCTGAAAAAATATATGTATTGAATAGAGAAGAAAAATGTAAGATTGTGGTGTGTGTCACAATAGCTGTACATATTATGACAGTCCCGTGTCATGCACGATCGCGCACCACCTCGCCATCCTCATCGTTAAAACTGCGATACACTCACCGTTTGCAAATTACCTCAAGATTATAACAGCACTTTGAGGCGTGGAAATGCGCAGAATGTACCTGCGACGAAATTGGAAAATTACAGCACCAAAAAAGTACTTTCTACGGGAATGTATGATTCGATGCCAAAAAGCTAAAGAAATTATTCAATTATTTTTTATATTTTGAGAAAACTGTATATATATATATATATATATATATATATATATATATATATATATATATATATATATATATATATATATTTGTTTTCCAAGAAGAAGTTATTTTAATACTAAAACAATGATTCCAATTTGCGATAAAAGTCTACTTTTCAACTTACCCTCTCGTCTGTCCATCCCGCAAGCGAGCAATGTTTACTGCGATATCTTTTCTTTGTCTGCAGGTCAACTGTGCGCTTTAGTTCTTCTTCAGGTAACATGGGTCGATCGGTCTGAAGGGAAGAAATACATTAATTGTTTCTTAAAATTGCACTCAGTGAAACAAATATTTCCATCCGTCATGCAATATGCGTTCAAAATATTTATTTTTATTCAAATGGAGTCTTCTACTCCACCTAGGTTTATGTCAAATTGTCATGAAAGTATGCACTTTTATTTCCACTTTTATTTCTGAATATAATCTACTTATTATCACGTCGGATTTTGACACTGATGTCATCTCAGCGGCGCGAGGGTATTTGTCAGATTGAATGTATGGAATCTTAATGCAAAGGGTTTGAACGAAATCCGTAAATTTTAATTATCGATGACAAACATACTTGTCAAGTATTGCCTCTTTCAGCGACGTTACTTTTAGGTTACAATTTTTATCACATTCTCAGATTTTCTTAGACAGGAGGTTGAGATTTGTGTCTCTTATCATGACAGTAAAGGAGCTCTACTTCCCGTGTTCTCTTTTGGCAGTCATGTCGCGTAATGAAAAATTTCAGTCACAAGGAAATTACAATTCAAGTTAAAAAA